CCCACTGATTTCCAGTGCAGTGCTCTGTCATAGTTCATCCAGTCTGGATAAACCACCAATTCTCACCAAAAAGGAAGCATAGAATTTCTTCAAAATAACTTGCCTTTTTTCTTCTGAATACATCATAGATTCAGCTGAGTTATGTTCTGGGCCCTTATTTACAAATGATATCTACACAGTCTACAAGTAATTGCAGTCTGAAAAGTCTGTGAGTTTTAGGTACATCATGGGTATACCCCAACTGAAATGAGCGTGTCAAAAGCATCTTAATTCACAGTGATAAATGCTTGCATCTTGTAAGGCAAGTTTCTACTTTTTCTGTCTCTTTGTTAAGAAAATTCGTATTGATTTGTAGATACCATAGTTTAAATGAATAATCTCAAGTAACGTTCTTGATGCATTTATAATTCACAGTAGTTAAAATTAGTAAACGTCATACTACTATTTGTTACTTTAATTCACAAAGAGAATGTGTCCGAGAAAGCAGAAAAAGAGCGATAAACTACAACTCATATTTTTGGTATATTGCATCCATATGGGAGAAGTGTGCTGCTACATCTGTGTACCATCTTGTTTTATCTGTTGATCCCTGTTTCTTGTAAATAGCTGCACATGTGAAACGTACTCTGCGCATAATTATCATGCTTCATATATGGACTAGGAACTTAGTAAACAGATCTGTTTTGTCATAAATAGTAAAAGCTTTCATATGGTAGTGCATCAGAAGTTAATGTTTAAAATTTTAAGCCTTAAAAAGCAGTGTTTACAGTGTTACAGGTCAGTAATTTAGTGATTGACTAATGTGAAGTAAAGTTAGCTATGTCACTCGTGTCACTTGATTTTTCTCTTCATGAGGATAATTTTCATCTTGGTAATAACCAATGTTGAAATACTATATATATGTGATTTATAGATGCATATGTAATTTTCAAAGGCTTAGTGAATGTATAAATCTGAAATACTCTGTTTTCGATAGACTGTTTTTCTGAGATAGTGTTTTTTGTGGTGTGGGTTGTTTTTTTTTTTTTTGAGTTCTGCACTTGCATATTTATTTTCCAGTTTTCTGGTAGAGAATATCTGTAGGTGATTTTAGACTAGCGACTGGTAATAGTCGCTTGATGATGACGAAATGTGTTAAATACTGAATTGTTGTTTCCACAACTGGACTAAACTGTGGTATTTGAAATAATTCTTGCCTTCTTTGGAGCAGCTTGCTAAAGATCTGCTTCCTTAAAATATACTAATGTGCCAGAACTGTAATGGGTGGTCTACAGGAGTGCAAATAAAAATAATGGAGTGATGTTAAGAAAAGGAAAATGTAGGCATATTATTGGGAAATATTTTCTGACATTGAGAGTTGTTTTACTGCTGAAGTGTTTGCTAGAGGAAGTGGTAGCAGCCCCACTGCGTTAGTCACTTAAAAATGACTGGACAGAGGAATGGA